GGGGAGAGCAGAGTGTGGGGCGCCGTGTGCCAGTGCTGGGGAAGCCGGCTGGTTGCTGCCCCCTGAGATGGGGGATGCCCCCCCACCCCACTCTGCCCCACTGGCTGGACAAAGAATCTGCTGTTCCCCCAGGGGGCCTGAGCAGCACGTGCCTGTCATGCCTGAATTGCTGCTCCCCTGCACCAGACTATGATGGAGGGCCTAGCACAGGGCATGATGGGAAACTCCTGAGTCAGACAGGAAGTGACATCACAGCCGCACCAGCCCCTGCTGTGCAAGAGTCCTGCTGGGATTCCCTCCCCCCGTGGCTGCTCTGGGCTGTGGGTGTCCCCTGGTGCGGGGGGGCTCTGGGGGCAGAGAGGGGCGAGGGGCGACGTGGGCCCGGGGTCCCCTGCTCAGCCCATCCCCCAACCCTGCTCCCCATAACCCCCAGTGCCAAGTCACGTGGCTGGTGCTGGGAACCTGGGGCCGCACCGTGGAGACGCAGGCTGGGGTCCTGTGAGCCTGGGGTGCCCTTCCCCTCCACCCTTCCCTGCGCCCCATTGCTCGCTCCCCTCTTGCCTGCTCTCCCATCCCCCTATGGGGACACTGCCCCACCGCCAGGAACCCCCAGTGCTCGCCTGCCACGGCCACTTACCCAGCTGGTGCTGCCTGGCCTGCAGAACTCGTGGGGGTGTCGCTGCTTGGGGGGGGGTGTATCCTGGGACTGTCGTGTGTCTGACCCGTCTGTCTCCTGTTTCTGCCCTGCAGGCCAGGATGTCGGGGACAAGAAACCCACAATGGTAAGGAGCCTTCGTGTGCAGCTACAGGACTCCTGAGTCCTCCTGGCTCCGGGAGGGCAGTGGGGTGGTGGGTTCCTGGGGGGGGGCGGGGCTGGAGGCAGGACTCCTGGGGTGTATCCTGGGACTGTCGTGTGTCTGACCCGTCTGTCTCCTGTTTCTGCCCTGCAGGCCAGGATGTCGGGGACAAGAAACCCACAATGGTAAGGAGCCTTCGTGTGCAGCTACAGGACTCCTGAGTCCTCCTGGCTCCGGGAGGGCAGTGGGGTGGTGGGTTCCTGGGGGGGGGCGGGGCTGGAGGCAGGACTCCTGGGTCCCTCCTGGCTCTGGGAGGGCAGTGGGGTGGGGAGGTGCAGCGGGGGATCGGGGCTGGAGGCAGGACTCCTGGGTCCCCCTGGCTCCGGGAGGGCAGTGGGGTGGGGGGTTCCAGTGGGGGGTCGGGGCTGGAGGCAGGACTCTTGGGTCCCTCCTGGCTCCGGGAGGGCAGTG